GGAGCATCATACTGGTACCCGCGAATTATGGAAGGCATAACATATAGAAGGATTGCACTAGAAGAACGAATACAAAGGTCACCATTCTGAAAGCAGCTGTATTCATGATGCTCATGTACAGTCTCGGAATATCTGCCGTTCTGAATAGTTGTGAAGCTGGTTTAGACAGCTTCCAACAACGCTGTCTGCGCAGCATCCTCAAAATGCGATAGTACCACTGAGTCATGAACGAACAGCTGCTGACGAACACCTGCTGAGAAAACTATCATATGAATTCACACACAGGCACTGACTTGGTTTCATAAAACGGTCCAAAAAGAGAACGAAAATATACTCAACACATTCTTGTCTTGGAAATCATGTCCTAGTGGCAGACGCATAGAAGGACAATATAAAAGGAAGAACATCGTTAGGGCAGTCCTGCTTCAGAAGATGAATGTGAACTTTACCTAATATCAATCTTAAATATCATTTCTAACTGTCAGACATCATAAACTTGTGTTACTCTGCTGTATAAGCTTTGCTGACCTTAGATGACGATGACAAAACAATAACAATATCGTTATGTCAGATATTTGATTCCTGGTTCACTGTTAAGGCCTGAACCTGGGTTGTTTTTCATTTCGTTTCTTCAACCGTCTTCCGATTATGGATGTTAACAGTTTGCATGTGTACCTTAGCGAAGTACTGCCGCGGTAATTTCGCTAGACACTAAAATAGTTGCATGCTAATTTACTTGTTGAAACGAGAAATTATTAGGCATTTTGGAGCTGTTCAATAGCTGCTTTATTGTATTAGCATGTTCCGCCATCTTTAGTATGTTCATATATTAACAATATTGCAGTTACATGGCAGCATGATTAACGGAAGATTAATAGAATTCAATTCAATACGATGTGACTCACACTAAGCCAATATAGTCGTTCAGAAACAGTATTTAAATAAGTAGTTAAGAAGTGAACACAGATTACCTCTCCCGATGGATACCTGTAGTGATACTTGTCCTGATCACGAGCAGTGAATTGTTCCGGGTAACGCTCTCTGATCTCTGCGTACGTGAGACCTTCGCATATACCCTGAACATCATTAGTAAGATGGCTGAATACAGATCACCTCCAAAAGGGTTTGCGTATACCGCATCTATTTCTTCGAGTGCCTTCCAGTGCTCGATATATGAAGCGCAACTCTGAAGATGGTACGCAGTCTGAACGGCTCGAATTTTCTGTGAACTCCAAACTCGCAAATCTGGCACCTTTTCGCTGGAGAAATATTGAGCTAATCGCTGTGCATACTAAATCATTGTACAGTGAAAAACGAAATATAAACAATTAGCGTAATATACAATAATAACTAGTTAAAGTTAATTTATTCAGTGTGATGTCTTGTCGAGTTGAATGTTGAAGTGGTAGCAGCACAAATTAAAGGCTAAAATCCTTCTGAGGTATTCGATCCATAATTGCAACTTGCATAATAGTTCATGGTTACGACCATGAGTTGATTTCCGTATGTTCTATTACACCTGAAAAACTTTAAGAAACCCTGACGAAGTAAAACAAGAACCTGAAGCTGTCAATCTACGGTTATTTGAGTAAGCACCTAAATTTTCGCAACTGTCTCATGTTAGGGAGGTTACACTAGCTCATTACCGCCATTTAGTTCAGGATCCTATAATGATATAACCGTCAAGCAGTTCCAACCTACCACGGAACTCTTTGGTCTATCTCATGTAAACTGAACAGTATGTATCCCTGTAAAAAGCATACAC